GTCAGTTGAAAAAAAGTTATCAAAAAAAATCTCTTTTTTTTCTCATTTTTTCTCAAAAAAAAAAAGTTAAAATGAAAATTTTTTTATAAATCTGCTACCACCGGTTGATATATGTGTATAGATTATGTGGTAAAAATTTTAGTCGAATCGAATAGCTACTTTTGGAGATTTTTACAACACGCGGTTCAAAAATGTGATTCCGAGAAAAACGCATTTAAAGTTTTTTTAAATACTTTTTTTACCCGCGCACGGGTAGATTCGAGGGACGAAAAAGTACAGTTAAGATGCTCTGATCGTTTTGAAATTTTCAGAAAGTATTCTTAAATATATTTACCTTCGAATAATCGAAAAAAAATTTGAAAAAAAAAATTACAAAGTAGAATCCAGCCTTAAACTATGAATCAACTATGGATTAAATCACATTTTCTGTATTCCTTTACCTCTTTTCACTTTCATTCTAACCATAGGTGTATGATTCATCTATTTTCGTATAGTTTTCTACAATTTTATTGTCATTGTCGTCGTCGTCGTCGTCGTCGTCTAGTGTAAGATAACTTATTCAAACAACGACAACAAAATTACTCACTTTGTATAATTTTTAATAATTATAATGCACGTTATTAAAACATAATAACGTAGGATTTATTAACACGTTGCCGCACACTTTTATTTGACGATCGTGCTTAGAAATACGAAGATCGGACGGTTATAGCCGTCATTTGCGGCAATGGGTTAATTGAAATAGAAGTATTTATTTAACAAAACAAATATTTACATGTTAAAGTTTAATAAAATAAGAATTAAGAGATAGAAAGCAAAAGAAAAAGTAGGTAACAATAGTTAGACACCATAAACTTGTAAATAACTGGTAATGTACTCGTATCACACTCATTCACTCGCAACTAGTCGTACCGAATCAGAAAGGCGTTCGCCGCTTCTATCCGCCGCGTTTATATACGCATTCACCCCACCAGTAGCTTAAATACTTTCCGGTTCGGGAATATTCGAGAGACTTCGGAGCGCTTACAAAACGATAACATCAGATGATATCATCTAAGCACGCTCGCTTTTCTTTTCTGCCGCACACATTCATATTCATATCGCCGTACGCACTCACACTCATATCGCCGCATGCATTCACAAATCTTTCAATATCCACTGATAGTCTCACGTGTATTATGCACTCGCACCCTTCATATTTCTCCCATCCTCACAACAATATATTTCTATATTATAAACGCCGATATATACGATAAAATATTGAATGTCTCGAGATAGTGAAAGTTCTTGTTGTTGTCATAAATCAAGAGAAAAAGAAGTCAAATAAATGAAAATAAATGAAAAAATAAGAGAAAAAAAAATATCATATGTGCAGATCACACATGGTAAACGTTTTTTCACACATCTTCAAAAAACCAAGTTGCGAGAGAATGAGACGAATGCATAATATCACAAGTAGGATCATTTATTATATAGTATTATTAAAATATTATTTTTCTATACTTCTACTGTATTCACTTACTACTGTAAGTTATATTATTTTTATTGGAAATTTAATGGGAATTATAGTGTATTTTTTTTTTTTTTAATGTGTCCTTTATATCTTCTATTAAAAAATGTCTATAGATATTTATTACAAAAAAATATAAATAAAAACATCTGATGGACATAATTTAAATTTTATGAATCAAATACCTTGTTTGAAGAAATAAAAAAAAATGTTACAATAATTTATTTGCTTTTGAAAAATATTCTTTTTCCTTTTTTTTCTATTATTTTCTATTTGTTGTGAAGATTTCTGAATTAGAAAGTCTTTCGGACCGTCATTAACAACAAAAGAAGCCTAACATTTTTAACTTCCGTCTTTTACAAAGAACCTTTTCCAAAGAACCTTCTCCTATTTCGACCTTTCCTATTTTCTATGGTAAAGAAAAAAATAAAGAAAAACAGGTGTCTTCAAGGTTAAGAATTAGAAATTTTTCATTGCAGCTTTCCCCCACTATTTGAATGGATTTTTAATGAATTGTTCCCCCCTCTCCTAAACCTGAAAACCTATAAAAAAGGCTCTTCCTGAGGAGTTTGTAGATCAGTTCTTTTTTACTGGCAGCCTTTGCTAGCATCCACACGCGTCTCTCGAMAAACGAATCGTTACAGTGTACTCTTTGTTAGTTATTATATATAGTATTAACGAATTGTTAATAGTGAAAGTTTGAGAAAATGGCCGATAATGGGACACCTGAATTATTTATTTGCCCGTAAGATGTGAACTTATATATTACCTTTCATTGATAATTTTATCAAATTATTATAAACTATCTTAACATTTTTAAATTTATTGTCCTATTTAGGAAATATTATTTGTATGTAATATGTAAAAAGTTAAAGTAAATATATATATATATATATAAACAATTCCTTTAACTGTTTACAACCGTGTAATTAAAATCAGTTAAATTTTACAAATATATGAATGCTAAGATGTCAGTTCATTTTAATCACGAAATTTTCGTTTACTTATGCTAATAAATATGTTTTTTTTGTTAGTTAGAAAAAAATCTATATTTTTAGACTTTAATTAAATACTTAATACAATTTACAAAATAAATTATAAAGTATCAAATTATTAAATTTTAATGACTTTAATATATTTACCATTCTTATATAGAGTAAATCTTAACATGTATATTTATATTCATTTCTTGTATCTATGTTTCATTTAGGCTTTTTGAAAAAGGCTGCTGCCAAGCAGGAAATAATTGCTGATTTCGTCATGACTTCCTTTATGATAGCGAAATGTGGTCACTTACGTTACAAAACGAGAAGAAATTTAGGGTTTTCGAAAATAAAATTCTTCGTAAAATTTTCGGTGCAAAACGCAACAAGGAAAACGGGTTTGAATGGAGAAAACTTAATAACGTAGAAATACACCGATTGTAAAACAAACCGAGCATCATTAACGTCGTAAAATTTCGCTAATTCGCGATGGGCAAGTCACGTTGGGCGCATGGAGAAGAGGCAAATTGCGCAGAACGTACTGATCGGTATACCGAACGGGAAAAGACCAGAGGCAAGTAGTAAACCGAGACGTAGATGAAAGAACAATATTAGTAGGGAACTTAAAGAAATATGCTACGACGATCGCGAATGTAGGAGTCGTGCTCAGTAATGGGTATCTACACTGGCGTGATTTAGTATTTTCTGCAATGAACTTTTTAATTCCTAACTTTTAATTCTAAACTACTATTATTATTATTAAAAAATAATAATAGTAATAAAAATAGTAATTAATAAATAAGAATAATAATAAGAAGAATAATAATAATCTATTTACATATTAGAGTATACTTGGTRATAACAAACTAGCATTTAAAGTAATATCTATCTGAATTGTAACAAAATATTTTAACATAATATATTTTTTTTCTATAGGCATGTATTAAAAAACCTTAAGTTGACAAGGAAATATTATTTATTCATCAACGTAGCAAAGAAATGTSTTGCGGTATCTGTTATGAAAAAATAATGGAAAAGTCAGCAAGCGATCGAAAGTTTGGTATTTTGCCAAACTGTAATCATTGTTATTGTTTAAACTGCATTACAAAATGGAAATTACATAAAAACTTTGAAAAGAAAATAAGAAAAGCTTGTCCAGAATGCCGTGTCATCTCCGAAATGGTATATCCTAGTATGTATTGGGTTGATG